GTAAGCTAGTTAAGGGCTCACATTAATTGATCATAATTGAATTCTCGATGCAGAAAACAATACTGATTAGATTTAAATTAAATGGAACACATTTGACCGTTTGAGAGAAACTTATAAGAATGTAAAAGAATTACAAGTTAAGAAGGCAAACAGCCGTCATCTACCAACAATGCACTGTTTTCCTCTGTATTTATGCAGTTCCTTTCACTGTGATGTAAGCGTCCAAACATTATACATGCATTATCAGTCATGCTCTCGGTACAAATGTTCAACTCGATGACTCACTAAAGCTACTAAACTGAATGATTAATGTTACATTTGAGACGAGTAATATAATGTTAGAGGTTAGGCGCCGATTTCTTCAAGAATGGGTTGTCTTCAATAGTACCTCGAAAGTCTGCTTTCCAGAAGATAGCCTGAAAGCCCTAGCATGCGGCCAAGCCAATTGATCCCTTGCTGCACCTCCTGAGTTTTGAGGAAATGAATCTATAAGTTGTTTTTCAATTCATCCGGGAGATGCAATTTCTCCGTCGCAGACTGAAATTTATATATAAATGTTAATAGGTCATAAATAAAAGAGCACAACAAATACATGCATGTAATGATGAAGAATTAATTCCTTGAATAGATTACTGCCTTAGTTTCATTGTTTCTACAGTAGAATGTATTTTATAAACCCCATAATTGGCTTAATCATGTGTCCATAATTGGCTAAAATCTCTAGAATCATATTCTATCATCCCTTATTAGTTGTAAATGAGAGAATTCTACATCATGGCTATTCGAATTTAAGGGGGGAAGCTAAAAAATGATCACTAATTGTTTGAAATTTTTATACTTTTTGGTAGTAAATGAGAGTCTTTTACATCATGGTTCTTCGAAGTTAAGGGGGAAAACTCATTAGAAAAAGACTAAAGTGCAATTTATACTTTTAGCGACGCAAGTTAGCGTCGGCAAAAATGTGGCTTTTAGCGACGCAGAATGAAGCGTCGCTAAAAAATATATCTTTGGCGACGCAAGAAAGCGTCGGCAAAAGTGGTACTTTTAGTGACGCAATTTAGTGCGTCGCTAAAAGTTAAAAATTTAGTAACACAATTTAACATTGGCAAATGTATTATTTTTGGCAACGCGTAATTATCTTTTCTGTCAACTATAAGCCTACACTGAACCTGAGCATCAACAAAAAAATTGCACCCATTCACATCAACAAAGAAACCAAACATCAAATTATACTCCAATCACGTTCCATATTATGATAAACAAAGAATTTACTCACATTACAAATTAGTTACATTCATTTCCATTTTCAAGTCAACACTTAAAGGTCTGTTTAAATATTCCAGTTTGCTTGTAATCCACAAAGGAAAAAAAACACAATTTGTCGAGAGGAAAAGGTGAAAGAAAAGAAAGAATGGAACAACTGTTTAAATATTCCAGTTTGCTTGTAACGTCATGACAAGTTGCTCTCTGCTTTCAAGATACTCAAATCCAAGTTCCTGCATAACAAGAATTAAGCAACATCAAAAATAGCCGTGAATATATGCGAGTGTAAAAATTTTACAAAAGATCCGAACACCAAACACCAAATCAATATCAAGAAGTGAAATTTATAACGTGAATAATCAGCTAACAGAACTACCGAACACCAAATCAATAGCATACTAACTGACAAATCACTGTGATGAAATGAAAGCTGAATAATAGCATACTAACTGACAAATCACTGTGATGAAATGAAAGCTGAATAACATTTAACATGTCAGTGCCCTTTAACTCAAATTCATTTCTTTTATATTAAACTTTTCTGCTTCTTAGATTGTTGGTGGTTATCATGTGCGTGTGTGGTCACGTCTATATGTGCATGTATGTGGAATATCAATAAATTTTCGTGCCTTTAGTGATCTGGCTGAGCACAGGTCGTACACGGTTTTAGGTGGAAAAAAGGTGTCACTGGAAACATGAAGTGGGTATGAGTTTCAGCTTAATTTCTGACCATTTTCTTCTCATTGCTTATGTTCATTCTTGCAAAATTTGGATCAAATTCTAATTTGTGTGCCTTTTGGGGACTTTAAGTACTTCAACGACATCAGCCTGCATGTTTTAGAGTATCATATCTTGAATTACTATGATTTATTCTTTGTTACAGTCATTAAGGTGCCATTACTAATCCCTAGATGTCAACATCTTGTCTTTTCCCCCCTAACATCGGCTATTTCCACATCATAACCTTAAATCTGAAAGCCCATCATTACCTCAAATCTGAAAGCCATCGAACATTCGTGCAGTTAGCAGCTCCTAAAGGCAGACACCATTCATGAGGCTAGCCCTACATGTCTCTAATCTTATTACTGTCCTTGCCATGATTTATTGTAATCCTACCTTCAACTCCTATCTGACGTCCACCTACTCATACCATCTCTCGCTCTTTCTTTCTCCATCTGAATGCAGTCTTTAAGAATGTATCTACTAATAGACATATGTTTGTATAAAAAACCAGTGTTTTTGTGATTTGAGATTTATACCTTCCATTCTTCACTTTCCCACACATCGATCATCGATACCCAATCATTAGGCTCCACACGCTTCGGTGGATGGTTCTTGGGATCAGGTACTCCCTTCTCTATTAAACCAAGATAATAGGCGTGCAACACATGCTTCCAATTTCTATAAATACTCTGAAACTTTTTCTTTATGGAATCTTAGATGATTAGGTCGTTCTCATAGTCCTCAACATCAAATCTTTGCTACAAGTACAGTTAAGCATGAATATACATATAAGCATGAATATCATTCGGAAGTTAAGCATGAATATACAAGTACATGTATTCGGAAGTTTGCATTTCAAAAAAGAAACAATAGAAAACAATGTAACATTTAGCAGATGCATAGCAAACGTACCATACAAAAAGCTTCATAACTAAAATAAAAAAACATACATTGACCAGCTATGCATGGGCCACACAGGAAAACAACCCTAACCCATAACTGAAGAAGTTAATTCCTAGTGCGTGTAAATCCACGAGGGCGACAGGCAGACAGAATCGTCATTCACCGCACAACATCAACGTACATAAGGACTCAACTCCTATATAAGATTAGGAAGAGTAGATACTGAACCCCAGAAACAAGGAATAGAAAAGAGGACAAAAAAATTATATCCAACACTAATTGCAACATCTTAATCCTTAAGCATGTCATGTAAAAAACAACTTACCACTCTTACATATGCTTCTACTGTCCCACATCCATGTTGTACTCGATTCACAGTTAACCTTGACACTTTGTCCACATTTACTCAAGTTGATGCATGTTAATTGTCATCGAGTACTCTGCTTCAACCATCTCCTGTCCTATCACTTCTTCCCACAAGCAGGACGCTCAGGCATCCACAAAGACATTACACAGGTAGAAACAACATCCAATCACCAATCACAGACTCCAATCTCCATTACGAATTGTCGTTGTCATAACTAAAATGCAAAAATACACTTAAAACATTAGAATCCACCTATTATGATCGTTTTGGGTATGTTTTTCCAAGTTCCTCAGTTAATTTAACTCATAATTACAAGACTTGTTATGTTATATCCTCCCAGCTAAATATAAGCATGAAGAATTTAAGTTATTATCTAAGTAAAGTGGACCGTACGTATCAGTAGAAGTTAAAGCACTCAAGTGGACCATACAAGTTAACGATTCTGAAAATACACATGTGAAGAACTCAAAAAAGAAAAAGGAAACAGCACAACATGACAATGTAACATTCAGCAGATGCACAACAATCTATTCCTTAACAACCCTATTTGTGTAGCATGAAAATCATAGACCATTAAAGAATATCATTAAAGAATGATTAAAAAAAATACCCGAACTCTCATAATGATCGCCTCTCGACTCCCAACATCAATATTGTCCCAACCACAATTACGAACCAGTGCAGATGATCGGATCTCCTTCCCAATCTCATTCGCGAGGGATGTCGCATGCTCCCCCTCCGGTGCTCCACTCGAGGAAGGGATCGAAACTGAAATTGCATGACCCAATTGTGTCACCAATCTCTCTATCCCCTTACCTCGTGTTGCATTGCGTACATTTCTACGGGCCGATGGTACCGATCCTACAAAAACATGATTAATAAACTAAATAATACAATAGAATATATCTATAATACCTGAATTTTGATCATATTTAGGTTGAACTATTTTTTTGTAAGGTATACTCTAATGCATCAACCTTAAATTCTGTTGAGGGCATGTTTCTATTTGCTGGTGAGTTATCTTCTAAAAAAGGTAGTTATGTGCAACAACCTTAAATTTGTACTCTAATGCATCTAGGCAACAAACTTATACTCTCGTAGCCATTGGCAATTAACTGATGGATCTTTTTATAAAGAATAAAGAATGCTGGGCCATTAGGAGCTGTTGAAGGTACTGGAGAATGCCATGTTTTCTTACACAAATGTAGTTGAATAGCATTAAAATGAAATGGTAAATCACGTAGCTATGTTAACATCATGGGACAAAAATATAGTAGGGTGTCCAGCTATTTATGTGCAATCACATGCTTCAAGGTCTTGTTGTCGAGCTTGACAATCCAACAGAATAAGTTTTAAAATGAAAAATTGATATAATTTCTTGGTATCATCTTTTTACTTTATTACCTTCTAGTTCCACAAGATGAAATGTTAGTTTACCTAAAACCGTGCACTTTTTATCAACTAAACATTAGTAAGTCAAGCCAGTTTGAGAATTGAAGCATCAATAACTGGTGCAAGGACATAAAAAATTACTCCAGTAATCTATGTAATACATAAAAAAAAGAGCTGATCAACTAATAACCCATCATCTGAACTCACAGAATTGAAATCATACCAATAACTTAAAAAGCTAACAAAAACAAATAAAATAACATGTAAGTATATAATACTGAGAATCCTAGGAAATTACATAGGGAGATCAGCATGTATCTATTCCCTAACAACGGGACAAACGCTGAATATGGTAAGTTGTTCTTATTCCATGCTTTTCCTTTAGATATATCAGCTCACTCTCGCTGAGGTAATCAGGAGGTGAGGTGCTACCCTAAAAAATATAATGAAAATAAAATGGTTATTAGAATTGAATATAAACAAATTCTGGAAGCCACATACATAAAGGGTAATATTCACGTATATTTCAAAGATGCTTGTCTAAGCCTAAGAAACCAAGCATTTAATGAAAAATAAAGTTCACCTCATATAGCTCAACTTTCGCAATGTTTATTCTCTCTCCCTTTGTAAACTGAGGAAGATTTTTTTCACTAACAGCCAACCATGACATGATAGATGTAAACCCTTTAGCTATGACAGCTGACCCACACAGCGGAACACTTCATCACCAACAGTAAAATTCTACATTAGTCCTGTAGAGAGCATGAACAAGTCATATTTAAGATAGAAAATGCTGTAAGTACCTCAAATCAACAAAAAGTTCAGAACATAACTAAACATGTGCTCATGACCAATATATATTCAGTGATATTTCTTCTATACATCTTGGGTACTTTAGTGACGGTTCTAAGTTTACAGAAGGAAGAAGAACATAGTTGACCTTCTGTATTTGCAGTCAGGACTAACAGAGCCAATAAAATGCTGACATATATACTGGTACAGCCTCCAAGCATCATTTCCTACCATATCCTCCGTTGCTGATCGCATGGGAGTAATGGGAGGATGATCACCAGCATCTCATCCTGTTCTTGGCTTATGAAAACCTTCAGCTAATAATGATTGCACAAAATCACCCCATACAGGATTATTCAATTGTGCCCCGAGTGCATTTCTAAAATCAAATGATCCAGGGTATGATGTGCTCTCTGTACGTGGATAGCTGGAAGATGTCATAAAAAAAGTATATCAGGAATATGCCATATTCAGGCAAAACATGGAACTTTATGACAGTTTCACACACCAAACAAACAGCAACATAAATGATTCATTCAACTTGACCATTTTCACAACAAAGAGAGATATAATAGACAATTTTCACAACAAAGTGAGATATAAGCATCAAGTCTAATCCATAAATAATTCAAATTCGAGGCAGAAATTATAAGAAAAATCACTTAAAATTCTCAGTGAAAGAAAGAGAGAGACTTCACCTTTGAAGAGGGTTGAAGAGATCTCCGTGATTGGAGATCGAAGTCCGACGCGGCGCACGAACTCCGACGGGGATGTGATTGGCTTGGGTATCGGATGAACTGGTGATTTAATTTCATCTTTAAAAGTTGTAACTGAAGATCGTATGGGCAGAGGAGAAGGCGGAGAGAAGCCAGAACCGAAGGAAGATTTAGGGCATTTTATTTCTGCGGATGTTGTTAGGGATAAGGTTGGTATATTTATTTCGGTTGAAGGTTATTTTGGGGAGGGAAAAGTTTTTTAGGAACTGGCTCTTTTAAAGAGTAGATAGATAGATAGATAGATAGATAAAGGCCGGTCTTTGGACGGGTGTACACTTTTTAGGTAAAAAGGAGAAACTAAAAGACGCACGTGCGGAACACGTGGAGAGAGCTAGCCTAGGGATGCCTAAAGCGGCGCCAGCTATCCACCAGCAGCTTTTAGTGCCTTCTGAGAAAGAAAAAAGAAAAAGAAAAAGAAAAAAGAAATGCCAACAACTGGCGGTGGTTCCTCTCCCTCTTCGATCACATCTCCTCCCTCGATCGATCGATCGAAACCCTAGATGCTCTCTAGATGGGGAAGTTCGAGAATACGTCACCAGCAGCAGCAGCAGCAGCAGCCTCAGCAGAACCGCGGCCGGTGATCTCGAGCGGCGGATCTTGCCCCGCTGCGCCGCTCCTTCAGCCTGAGGTGCGTCGCCGTGCTCCTCCTCAGCGGCGCCGTCGTGATCTCCGCCCTCTTCTCTCTCCCCTTGTTTCGCACTCGACGGACCGGTTTCTTCTCCGATGATGCCGACGCCCTCGCCGGTAATAAATTCTCCCTTTATCTGCTAGATTTGATGTTAGAATTTTGTTAATTTAGTTTTTCTTCAGTTCGTACGACTGCAGCGTATTAGGGTTTGTTCAGTTTTGTGAATTTAGAGTTTAGGAGTATGGCATCTTCATCAGTTTATGTGAATGGATGGTTGATATCGTGTACTCGCTCGTTTCTAGTGTGTCAGTTTGTGTTTTCTGTCGGGCTTTCCCTGCTGTCTGCTATATTTTGGTTATACTGAAGGTTGGGAGTGGTAAAAATTTCATTCTATGGAGTATCTTTAGCACTTTTCATCCGTCATGTAGGTGTATAATCAACGATTTCCTTTTACTTGAAAAGTTTCTCTATATGTGAGTTGGAAGAGATACAACACCAACTTTTTATCGGCGTTCCTGACCAAAGTTGTGTTGGTGGAAGACTGTTGATAATTGTCCGAGACCGTTCTATGATCTGTGAGATCATGATCGAAGATTTTATGTGCTTTATTATTTACAATTGCTTTCTTAAGTTGTATACTCCCAAACCTTTCATATTTTAGAAGGTTGTTTGCGCTTAAATACCCAAAAGTTTAACACCATTTTTTATATTTGATACCTCAATGTTGTTCGAAGTTCAAAAAGATTAACCTTGATACTCTCTGTTTAAGTCAATTTAGGGTATCACAGTTAAATGTTTTGAACTTTGGAGTATTTTTTGAGGGAAAAAAACTTCGGGAGCATGAAAGTTAAAAAGGATGTTAACTTTGGATATTTTAGGGAGCGTTTGGCAACCATGACTTTTTTGCTGTTTTTATTTTTTAATTTTAAAAAAAACAATGAAATGTGTTTGGCAAACGGGGCGATTTTTTGACTTGACCCTTTACAAAATCCAAAAAATAAACGCTTTTCTTAAAACACCAAAAAAGTGTTTTGAGATTCTGGTTTTTCATCTAAGCCGCCGCCCGTCCGTCCGCACATGTCCGCCGCTTCGCCGACCCGTGCTCGTCGGCCGTCCATCCCCGCCACCACACCGCGCCTCGTTGCCGCTGCCTAGCACGTGCGCCGGCGTCGTCGGCCCGCCGCTAACCCCTCGGCCCCGCGCGTCGCGTCGCCGGGTCGGCATGCCGTGTTTTTTCATGCTAATATCGGCTGCCGCGGTCGCGCTCGCCGGTTGCTCGTCAACCCGCTCGCCGCGCACTACCGTCGCTGCGCGCCTGTCGCCACCCACTCGCCGTCGTTGTCGTGCAAGCCCGTCGCTGTCCATACGGCCATAGTCGCGCGCCCGCCGCCGCCGCACCTGTCGGTCGTCCGCCGCCGAGCCGCGTTCCGCGCGCCGCTTTCCCCTCCAAGTGTACCCAGAGGTCCGCTGCCCGTACATTCGCCTGCCGGGACAAGCCCCCCCACCTAATCCGCGTCGCTGTGGCCCGTCGGCCCGTGTGAGCCCCCGGCCGCCACGCTGGGCTCGTTCGACGCGTCTGGCTGCCCGTCGGCCGTCAGCCGCGCCGTGCCACCGTTGCTCGGTTCGACCGCTCTGCCGCGCCCCGCCACCACCGCCGCATGCCGCCACCGCCGCCGTCGCCGGCCACCAACACGCCCATCCGCTATCACCGCCGCGCCCTGCCGCCACCGCTAGCCCGCCGCCGCACCGTAGCCGCGCTCCGCCGCCACCGCTAGCCCGCCGCGCCGTCGCCGCTAAGCTCGTCGCCACCGCCTGCTGCGCCGGCCAGTTCGATGCCGTCTGGCCGTCGACTGTTCGCACGCCGCCGCCGGCACACAAGCTCCGCGTGGTCGTCCGGCCCCAACGCCAGTTGGCATCAGGTCATCGCGTCGGCAGCCGCGCGCCATCCGCGTCTGCCGCCCAGCCGCGGTCACCGCTAGCCCGCCGCCGTCCACCGCTAGCCCGCCAGCCCGCCGCTGCCTGTCGACAGCCTCGCCGCCGTCAGCCGTTTGCCGCCGCCGCCGCTCGCAGCCGCTCCGGGTGGTCGTCGCCCACGTCGCCCGTTGGTCGAGCAGGTCATCGGTCGGCCCATCCGCCACCTGCCGCCCGCCGCCCGCCAGCTCCTCGCAGCGTTGCGTGCGCCGTCGTAGTTGCGGTCGCCGCCGGTCGCCGTCGCCGCCGCTATATAAATAATAACTATAAATGGTGTTTTAAAAACACGTTTGAAAAATAAACACCATGGTATGGTGTTTTTTAAAAAACCACTACAAAAAGAAACACTCTGGTTGCCAAACACACTCTTAGTTAAAATAACCCTAATTTTAAACTTATCCATTTATCCACTAAATCTTCATATTTACTAATTTATTCAGTAATCTATAGTCAAACGTAAAATATTGCCTAATTGTAGCAAAGTTATTTCTAAATTCTAGTGGTGTATAAAACCCTTAAGCCCTTTTTTCACTCAAAACCCACTTAACTCCCTTTCTCAACCATAAAACCGAAATCTAATCAGTAAAACACCAGGCATTTATTCATAATTTCCAAATGAAATCGAACAAGTTCAGACAATATTATTGAGGTGATCAATACTACATATATACTTGTGCTCAACAACCACACAATTCACCCCTCTACACCTTGCCATCTTCTTTGACTCTAAAACTTATTGCCTCTTCTACCATCTATTCTCATTGCCATCGGAAACAAGGAGAGCTTCCTCACCTCCTTTGACCTCGTGATCAACAAATATTATCTTATGACTTTGATGTCTATGGTAAGGGAATTATTGTTGGGACTTGAAATGCCTTGTCGGATTTGGACTTTTAGTTGCCATGTTGCACATCAACATTTAAAGAAGAGGCACTTTTTTAAGGACAAGGATAGGGCTTCAAAGTTAAAACTCGAGATGTAGCACATCAATTAGCGAATATTAGTTGTGAACAAACATAACGGATGACGCCAACTCCAAATGTATGATCACACAGTATATAGATGCATTTACATCAGAAAGTTATCATACTCGCAGAAACTATTAAGAGCCACATTTTAACAACAAAAGTTGTCAAGACATTTGATGAAGAGGCATTTGTGTGGATATAGACTTGACATTAATGTGAAAATTAGAGCCAAATGTTAAGCACAGACCTAATGCATTGCTAGTGCTGAAGTGAGGTTGAAAGTTAATGATCCTCGTTAACCCAATGTTCTTCAAAATGGGTTCAGGCAATGCCTCACATCATCAAGGGATTACAACAACTTAAATAAGGATTATTAGCGGTGGCTTGAAGAGAAAAGGTCTATATTAAATTATAATTAAGAGAATTAGCGTTAGATTTGATATCATCTTAAAAAATATAAAATAGTGGAACTTTTCAATTGTACTACCATAAACTATGGGGTAGCCACTAATTGGAAGCAAATTTAATAATTAATTTTATGAATATTTAGGGTATGAAGCAAAAAACCTATGTAATTTTGCTTTTGCCAGAATTCCTCATCTTGGTTTTTTGGAGACATTTAGATGCACAGCTTATTAGTGAACAATTGTAGCATATGTGTCGAGCTAGGTTGATCATTGTAGTGGTGGCAATGCGTTAGGACTGGACCGAGTCATCAACCACATGACAGTGTTTTAAATGTCGGCCGACATGTCGGACATGTCGGCCGACATGTCGGGTTGAAGGTGCCAGCGACACAAGTCGGGCTTTCTTAAGTCGGATGTCGTTTTTGGGGAGAATATCGGATAAATCGGCGCAATATCGGCCATATCGGCCGATTTTTCAGGTTTGAAAAATCGGCCGATATGCTATTATATCGGTTTAAAGCTATTTTTTCTTAACAGTCAAATTACAAAAGTCAAATTACAAAACTGTCCCAGGTTGGCTTGGTGGTTGAAGTTTCAGGACTTGAGCACTTCTCTTTGTTAAATCGGATGATTAGTTTCATATCGAAGACCGTTTAGCATATCAAAGACCAAAATTGTTTCAGGATGCAATCGAGAATCAAAGTATGCTTATATTGAATTTAGAAATGCTTAGATTACATTTAGGACGTGGTATTATACATATATGCACTACCCGATATCGCAATCCGATATTTAGTCCATGTCCCCCGATATATCCCCGATTTCCGCTATCCGACATGGATTTCGGCCGTCCGACATGAACCCGACATCCGATATTTAAAACCTTGCCACATGGAGGGCTGACTAAGGCCATATGTTTCATTGGTCCAAATCTAACCATTAAGAAGGCTTTAACTTTTAACCCTAAGAATATGTGATTCTAGGTTCAGCCCAAGATTAACAAAATATTTTGTTCCACTCGATCAAAACTCATAAGGAAAAAGAGATCATTAGCCGTGCTTATAACTTGATTATATTAAGAGAACTTTTTCTTCTTGTACTAGGAGAGGATTTTGTACATATGTACAACCCTATTCTTGCCTTAACCATAGGGGATGAAAGCTCAAGTTAGGTGATTTTTGAGTGTCAGCTCATTACAAAAGTGTAGTTCCTATTACCAAGCTATGCCCTATGACTCTTGTTAGCATAAAAAAGGGTAGCCCAGTGCATAAGGCTCCCACCATTGTGGGCTCGGGGAAGGGTCAGATGTACGCAGCTTTACTTCCGTATGCGAAGAGTCTATTTTCGGGATTTGAAATCATGACCTTCAGGTACTAAGACAACAACCTTACCGTTGCGCTAATGCTCATCCTCACTTTTCAGCATCACATAAGCTAAAAAACCTCAAAAAATACAAATAAAAGTTATATGGAAAATTAGAACTAGAGCAAAAGCTAAGTTGTATGGGAACAAGCAGGCACGGGTTCGGATGCCGGTAAAAGTATGAGTACGGGACATGACAAATTTGTAAAATGTAGGGTACAGGAGTAGGGTTATATAAATATCAAGGTTATCGATAACGAATAGCGTCGCGTAGCGGTGAAACATCGCTAAAGCTATTTGGAGCTATTGCGGCAAAATAGCGTTAAAAAGCGCAAAATGCGGTCTAATTTAAATATGTATAAATATTTTAAAAAATTATAGAATAAGCTAGAAAATCTAAAAGTGCAT